TCGGTGTCACCCAGGTTACGCAACTCGTCCTTGGTGTTGGTACAGTCGTTCAGGAGCTTAAACTTCTTTGCAGAGAATACAGCCTTAACGTTGCATATCAACTCCTGGTCCATGGGCTGGATTAACGACGTAGTGTTGGGAGGAAGGAAGACCACTTTTACGTTGGGGTGACGATCCAACCGTACGGTAGAGTGTCCTGGTGCATTGTCAAGGAGCAACAAAATGTTGAATGGAACATTCTGTTTCTCGCAGAATTTCTTGACGTCGGGAATGAAACAGTCGTCAAACCAGGAGAGGGACAGAGCAGTGAACATCCACGCCTTACGTGCAGTTAGCCAGTGGACATTTAGCTTGGTCATGTCCATGTTCTTGTAGGCGTGTGGCTTGCGGGCTGTGTGGATCACCGACAACTTGAGCTTACAGGTGCCGGAGGCATTGGTGGTGAACAGGACGGTGATGCGCTCCTTCTGCAACTTCCTGCCCCGACACTTGCTGGCAGACTTGACAACGAAGGTCATGGTAGGTAGCTTTTTCCAAAACAGACCAGATTCATCCATGTTGAGCACCTGGTCGTCGGTGTACTGTCCTTCCTCCATAACGTCACATAAGAACGGAGGAAAATCACTAGACGCAACACGGTCAGCACTCGCTCCTTCACCACCAATGTTAATGTTGGTGATCTTGTTACTCTTCTTAAACCCTTGCAGCCACCCAGAGGAAGTATTGAAGGGTTTGGGCTCTGCAATTCCCATCTTACATGCCACTGCTACTTACAGTTCATGTGCGTACTCTTGAACCGACCGCGAGTCCACCGCCATGTTACGTCTTGCCTGACGAATCAAGTAGCTCATAAGTAAATTCTCCGTCTTGAGCAGCACCTTGTTCTGGCAGTACTTCACCATTGAAGCACCTGCAGACTTTGTGATGTTCATGTGTTCTTTTATCTTGGCTGCATCCTTCTTGATCGTCCTGATCGTAGATTTGTTCATGCCATGCTGGCGCGCCAAATCAACTTGTCTCGTTCCTTTTTCTAAATCTTGTATGATCTTGTACTTAACTTTCTAACTTAGGGCACGTCGTATCTTCTTTGGCTTATTGCAGCTGGGTCTAGGTAATGCAAGGTTTTTCTGTGGTGGTGTGGGTCCAGTGGAAGCCATTTTTACGAGATTAGCGGGCACAATAGAACTCAGTACAGTGACCCCTCCGTTAACGAACTCAATCCGTTCCAGAAGGTCGTTCGTTAACCGAAAGTTCGTTAACCGAAACCATTGTTTCAATGGGTTTTTGGGTACAGTGGGGTATGCTATAACGAACGTAATTGGTTGCAGAATCTTGTTCGTTATAGCATTCGTTCGTTATAGGATTAATCCGTTCCAGGCCCCCAAATACAACCAGTTAACACTGAAAAAATTCTGTGGAAAATGTAAAAAATGCGGTACTTTATCTTACCTTAGTGTTATTCAGCATGCAGGTACCCCTAAACACTGGCACATCACTATCACTTCCACTGGGAGTCTTGGCTTTAAGGTCCTCAAACAATTGTTTAGCCTTCTCACAAATTATAGCTTCACTAATGTTACCACCTGCCATTTTTTTCTCCTTTATCCACACTAAGAGTAAATTTTCCATCTCTTCAATCACATTACACCTTGCTTTGCTAAGTCTAAAGATTCCCTTAGCCACTTGCACAGTTTTTAACTCCTCTTTATTCTTCAAAATCGTACATATAGTCGATTTAGCCATCCCATATTCATCACTAAGTTTCGCAATGCTTCTTCCATTCTCACGTTTCTTTATAATTTCTTTCTTAGTTTCAAGGGTTATTAGCTTTCTCACTCGCTTTGGACGACTCATTGTTACAATTGTATACTTGTATAACAAAATAGTTATACAAATAACGCGAATTTCCACATCAAAAGACGAAATTTCAACAATAACAGTGGTGCACTGGCTACACAATGAGACAAAGATGGCGCCTGACGCTCTTGTTGTGGGTCGCGGTACAACAATATTCATGCGCCAGGCGAAATAGTCCGGTATTCATCCGCGTTCGTTGTAGGAGTTGCGTTCTTATAGCATTCTCAATTTTATAGGTAAAACCGTTCGTTATAGGAATATTCGTAGTAGGATCCGTTCGTTATAGCATACCCCACTGTAATTGGTTCCAGCTCACCGAAAATTTCCTAAATTCAACAAAAATGGTAGAAAAGTTCAGTTACTTTGAGGTGTGTATGTAGAAGGCTCCTGGACGATGATTTATGATGATGGGATTTAGAATGGGGGTGGAGGAGAAGGAAGAAGAGAAGGCATTGGGGTGGAAGAGAAGTCACCCCATGGCGCCATTTCACCCATAAAATTTTAGCTCTCTTGGTGTAATGCAAGATTATTTTCTTTAAATCAACACTGCACTGCATTATATATTGTCAATATGTAAAATATTTTTCAAAATGACCAATAATTTGCTTGGAAACACAGAAAATAAGCGTTTAGTTGAAGAGAGTCTCAAGCAAGATGTTACCTCCAGTGAAAACAGAGAGAGACTAACTCCTCTTTGCTGTGTTAAGAGGCTGGATGCCGCGCATTAAACTAGTCACTTTACCTTCAATTATGTTCAATAATTGTTAAAATGACTAAAAAATTGAATATTAAACTTTTAAAATTATTGAATAGTATAAACTTCTTGATATTTACTAAAATAGTAAGGAATTTAAGCCCTAGAACCGATTAATGTATTGGCAGACTGATACTAAATCTGGTTGCCCGGTCAGTGCAAGCGAAAACATGTTGAGGTCGGTTCGTAAGAACTTCGTTAACCAAATTTTTTTTCGTTAACCGAATTGAAGATCCTTATGGAAGGCAGTTCGTTAATCGAAATTACGTTAACCGAGGTGTTCGTTAAACGAGGGGTCACTGTATATACGGAGTGACTGGGAGGAGAGCGACTGACGTGGCTAGGTCAAGCGGCTTCTTTCCTCCCGTGGCAGGGCACGTCATATTACATTAAACCAATCACAGCTAGTGCGGGATGGAGGTAAGGATGCGTGGCCCAATTACAGTCTGATACGTCATATGACGTCACCGATAACGCAACACTGACATACTGCGCAACCTACTCGCGCCGCTTGCCCAAGCATGGCGGGAGGTTTGAATCCAAAAATGGCGCGGCGCGGCTGGACCTCCAGATGCTCTCCACGTAAATGACCAAATTTACCGCGTAAATCAAGCATTTCAATTCTGGCAAGGCACCGCGTAAATGATCAAACGCGTAAACCAAAACCGCGTAAATCCAGACTCAACTGTAATGGGAATATCCTCTCACAGATAATTAGAAAAAAATTACAAATGTTGAGTCTACCCTCAAGTTCACTCTGTGCTTTATTAATAACAAATCACAAGATGGAGTTGAGGGTAGACTCAACATTTTTAATAAATGTTTTCTAATTATTTGTGAGAGGATTTTCCCATTATTATTTATTTGCATGTGTTTTGTGTGTGTGTATCTACACACACACACACACACACACACACACACACACACACACACACATATCATATACCCTGTATATACAATACAGGTAAAGGAAATTACTGTCTGTAGAACAAATGACTCTCTGTCCCGGCCACAAAAATGCCAGTAACTTTAAAACTACCCTTATACATTCTTGGGAACATCCAGGGTGTCATCCGCGAATAGTAGAGGACCGCGAAATAAAAATCCGTGAATTATCCGGGCGTACTGTATATACTGTACCAGCAAATCTGAGGAATAAATAAAATTAATACCAATGGGTACTGGAGAAAAAATTTATCAATCATACACTACATAAGGGAGACAGCTCAAAACAGCTGACTCCCTCCCCCGCACAGTGTGTCCTCTTAACACACGAACAAAGTTAATTTCTATTTTATTTTTTTGATATGATATTTTTTTTGTTTTTTCACATTTTGTATACAAGATTGTGTATGCATGTAACATAATACAGTAAAACAAAATAAATAGAAATAATAAAATAACATATACAGCTATTCCTCGACTTATGACATACGACCACCCGGACATACGACCGCCTCAGTCGTACCAAAATTTTGTCAATTTACATATTTTCGAGTCCCGTCAGTGATTGCGCTGTGTACTGACAAAATTTTCGTTTGTAATTTACTTTAAAATGGCTGGCAAGCTTAAAAGTGAGAGTTTTGTGGTGCTGAGAAGAAAAAGAGACACCCATTTTAGATTTTCTATGTATTATTTAAGCATTTTCGACTTACAACCAATTCGACTTACGACCTGGATTTGGGTCCCTAACCCCATCGTAAGTCAAGGAGTGACTTCTACCCAAAATTAGGAGTTTAAAAATAACCCTAACATAGATGACAGCTTGACCTAAAGTGGTCGGGGGATGTGGCTATAGTGATGAGTCTTGTCTTACTGTTACAAATACAAAACTAATATAAAATACTGAAAACAAGTAAACAAAAAATAAAAGGTAAGGAATATTACGACTGATGTAAAGTAACGGCTTACAGGGTAAGTCAAAAGGCTGAAGCAAACTCCCTGTCCCAACATTCATAAACCATACCACCTGCCTTTCTTATGTGAGTTAACAATTGTGTTACTTCAAGTTACATTTATATACAATCTAGATGAACAAAAATGCAGCTAAAGTTATTAAGGAAAATCCAAATAAAAGTTTAACACAATGGCCATTAGCATAGACACTGGCTGCCTGGCTTCAACATTTACCATAGCAATGCAGCCCAACTGGGCCATTGACTCTGCCGACTCCCTAGTAATACCCCCGCCACTCCTCTTCTCAACACTATAACTCAAACAAATGGTTATGGTTTTTCATCAGACTTGGGCTGTGCTTATACTGTACAGTATTACAAAATACCGTACTGTACTACCAGACAAGTTAAGCATAATGGTGGACTTGTTATGAGTCATAGTTATGATAGAGAGAGACTTGTGTTGAGTTAGTGTGCTTGTTTTATTTAAATAGGCTGGGGCTGTTCCTCTTCACCCGCATAGTGAAGGCAGGAAAAGACCGTCGCTTTGACAAGACACGAGCTAATCCTGTCCGCTTCTTCTATGCTTGGACTTTACAAGGTAGGTCTTGTTTCTTCCTTGTCTTGGTGTACAGTAGGGTGACTCGTGTTTATTTTCGTACTAACAAGTTTGTGTTCAATCATCTATGTTCCTTCGGTAAGTTGTTATTTCTCCTAGACACAGAAACACTGGTATTTTCCTGTACCTGCTCTTTCTTGACTCCCTTGTCAGCTCTCTCCCAGTGTCCACTTAAATTATTCTTCCTGTAAGAGTAGTTTGTTGGTGTCCATAACCCCTCAGTCATCTCTTATAACATTATCTGCCACTGTACTCTTCCTGGATAATGACAAAACTTTCTTTAATGTCTCACTTTGTGTCTCTATCTCTCATCAGTTTGTACCTTCTCATATAAAAAAGTTCACCTCACATTTGGTTAAGTTAGGTCATGTTACATTGGTTTAGATTATGTTAGGTTAGGTCAGGTCAGATCAGGATAGGATAGGGTAGATCAGGTCAGATCAGGTCAGGATAGGGTAGATCATGTCAAGCTATGTTAGGTTAAATTTGATCAGGTTAAGACTGAGTTAGGTTTGAGCTTGTCAGGTTAGGTTAAGTTAGGTGAGTGCATGAATGTGTTTCTCTCTTGGAAAATATATGCGTGTATGCATGCACCGACCCTTCAAGAGGTGGGATGGTTGCTGCTCACACACACTGTATAATAAAAATAAAATAATTCTGCATCATTACGGTGTTACTGTACAGTGGTCCCTCGGTTAACGAGATTTCGGTTAACGAGTTACCTTCCATAAGATTCTTAACTTCGGTTAACGAGCAATCCCTCGATTAACGAGTTTCTTACGAGCTGACCTGAACATGTTTTCGCTTGCATTTGGCGGTCCACCAGCTGTAGTATTAGTCCGCCAGTACAGTAATCGGTTCTAGGGTTTAAATTCCTTACCATTTTAGTAAATATCAAGAAGTTTATACTATTCAATAATTTTAAAAGTTTAATATTAAATTTTTTAGTAATTTTAACAATTATTGAACATGCCATCCAGCCTGCCAACACACCATACAGGCGTCAGTCTTTGTGTCTTTTCAGTGGAGGTAACATCTTGCTTGAGACTCTCTTCAACTAAATGCTTTTTTTCTGTGTTTACAAGCAAATTATTGGTCATTTTGAAATTTATTTTACATATTGACAATATATAATGCAGTGCAGTGTTGATTTAGAGAACATAATCTTGAATTACACCAAGAGAACTAAAATTTTATGGGTGAAATGGCGCCATGGGGTGACTTCTCTTCCACCCCAATGCCTTCTCTTTTCCTCCACCCCCATTCTAATTCCCATCATCATCATCATCATCCAAGAGCCTTCTACATACACACCTCAAAGTAAGTGTACTTTTCTACCTTTTTTGTTGAATTTAGGCAATTTTCGGTGTGCTGGAACCAATTACCCCAAAACCCATTGAAACAATGGTTTCGGTTAACGAGCAACCTTCTAGAACGCATTGTGCTCGTTAGCCGAGGGACCACTGTATATGAACTGACACACTGGACCAAGAATACTGAGCAACATTCATTTATAATCCAAGTACCATCCTTATCAAATGAACACGACCTCACTCAGTAATCGCTGTGAAGGCCGTCAGACCTGGGAGTGCAGACCATTTTTATGTTGACTGTACAGTACACACGGTTGTGGACAATGTATAATGATTGTATTGTTTGGTAGCATCAACATGAAATTATAAGTTTCTTGGTGATAAGTTTATGTGTTCATACATGACACACATACTGTAGACAAGAGCATCTCTTTGAAGTGTGTGTCTTCTCAGCTCCATAAATTGTGCTAAATTTTCTTCTTCATTTTTCTTGGGATCTCAAGTTGTTGATCAAAATTGTAAATGAAACTTCATTACAACAAAAAGAAGAAGATGTGATTTTTATTATTATTTAAGGCTATGCTATACTATACTATACTATAGTATAGTATAGTATAGTATACTATACAGTACTATACTATACTATACTATACTATACTATACTATACTATACTATACTATACTATACTATACTATACTGTACTGTACTATACTATACTATACTATACTATACTATACTATACTATACTGTACTATACTATACTATACTATACTGTACTGTACTGTACTGTACTATACTATACTATACTATACTATACTATACTATACTATACTATACTATACTATACTGTACTGTACTGTACTGTACTGTACTGTACTGTACTGTACTGTACTGTACTGTACTGTACTGTACTGTACTGTACTGTACTGTACTGTACTGTACTGTACTGTACTGTACTGTACTGTACTGTGCTGTAATGTGCTGTGCTGTACTGTGCTGTGCTGTACTGTGCTGTGCTGTACTGTACTGTACTGTACTGTACTGTACTATACTGTCCTGTGCTGTGCTGTACTGTGTGTGTGCTGTGCTGTGCTGGTACTGTGCTGTACTGTGCTGTACTGTGTACTGTACTGTACTGAGCTGTACTTGTACTGTCTGTACTGTAACTGTACTGTGCTGTGCATT